GCAGGAGTGTCACGCATTTCTACCTTCATACTTTGTGCTTTCTTGAGCACCTACTTTGTGCCAAGTACAGTGCTAGGTCCACCAATACAAAAACAACTGTCTTCATCTTGTCTGGTAAATTTCTTTTCTTTTTTCCTTTTTTTGGTACTGGAGATCAAACTCAGGACTCTACACTTGCCAGGAAAGTGCTTATGCTGCTGAGCTATCTCTCCAACCTCTTGCCTGGTAAATTTCATAACTTCTCACGCTTTGTTTGTTTGAGACAGGGTCTCACTATCTAGTTCAGGATCACCCTGAACCCATTATGTAGCCAGATGGGCCTTGAACTCACAGTGATCCTCCTGCCTCAACCTCCTAAGTGCTGGGACTATGGGCATGTGCCACCATGTTTCGCTTCACAATCTCTTTTATTTAACATGTACATTGTAGTGTTTGATCTCTATACCTACCAATCACTTGTGCATCACGTGATATTTTGATTACTGTGTACTCATCCCTCTATCTTACCCATCTATCCATCCATCCACTCATCTGTCATGTCTATTTATCTGTCTTCTATTACCTCTCCATCCATCGCTAGTTTATCTAACACTTTCTATGCATGTATCCAACTCTCTATCCTTTCTATCCATCCACCAACCCATCCATCCATCATCCATCCATCCATCTATCCATCCAAGCATTCATGTCTACCTATGTACTAAGGATCTACATTATCTCAGAAACACAGTTAAGCTTCTGAAATCTTCCTCTCACATTTATTTATTTATTTATTTATTTATTTATTTATTTATTTATTTTGAGACAGAGTCTCACTAGTACTGCAGGCTGGCTTTGAACTCACTCTGTAGCCAAAGCTGGCCTCGAACTTGTAGTGATTCCCCTGCTTCAGCCTCCTGAGTGCTGGGGCTGCAGATGTGCACCAGCAGGCCCAGCCTCTTACACCCTTTTAGTTAAACCGCCAGATTTCAAAGTCCGTGGAAATACACTTTCAACGGGTTTAATAAAATCACAAAGGTAGATTTCTGCTGAGGCTTTGGGCTGCGAAGAGCGAACAAGAAGGATCCAGGGGTAAGATACTTCCCACCGAACTTCGCAAGAGAAGAAAGCAAAACCCACTGGCGCCCATGGAAACTGAACGGTGCTTCCATGCTGTGGTCTGCTTCGGAATGTTAGAAGACAATGGTTTCATCGGGGAGTACTCATGAAAGTCAGCACTTGCCTCAATGTCAGATTAAATACACTTGTGTTCCCCTCCCTTCCCCAGCACACAGATTACTGTGAACTGTATGTCTCCATCATTTTGAGCAGAAATCTAGGTTTGCAAGATTTTTTCAGTTACTCTGTCTAGTGTAAACCAACTTGGGATCCTCCTGCCTCAGCCTTGTGGGAGGTTGGCCTTACAAGCATGCACTCTCTGGCCCAGCTTCCAATACCATTTCTTATAGAAGGCGACTAGGGAGCCCATTGGGATTTGCAGCACTGAAATTTGATCTGAGTGCCTGATTGGAGGAGACAGAGCCACCAGACAGTAAGGAAGAAGAACAGTCCCTTACCAGACAAATAAGAGTAGGAGAAAAATGAAAAGGGAAGGCAGGGTGCATAAAGAAAGGAAAAGAGATAAGAAAAGAATAATTTATTATAATAGGAGTCTCAGCCCTCTGGGAGGCTGAGGCAGGATGATCATAAGTTTGAGTCCAGCCTGGGCAAGTTAACAAGACTATGTCCCAAAATAAATAATAAAAAAGGGAGCTCGAATGTAGCTTAATGTGAAGGCCCTGGGTTCAATCTCCAGTAGCACAGAAAAGACAGACAGACAGACAGACAGACAGACAGACAGACAGACATTGTTTTAAAGGGGTCTAAACCTGCTGCAAACATAATAAAAACTACAGACCAGAAAATACACACAGCCACAAGTCTTGCACACTTGTCCCTTGGGCTGTACGAGTCCAGCCTCAGGCTGTTCTCCTGCAGGAAGCACTTTTCCTCTGAGACTAGATGTCAAGAAGTGCAGAAAAGATGACCAGGCTGGACACGAACAATGCAGCCTCCATCACAGGTGCCTCCTGCTTGGGTATCACTGCCTGGAGCTCGCTGCATGGCAAGTGGTCAGTGCGCTTCCTCAGTCTCTCAAGAGCCACGGGATTAAAACAGCAGAGCACGGTTTGCTCAGGCTCCTTCCAGCCACCAAGGTCAAGCCAGGCTCTGCCTGCAAGCTCAGCCCTCGGGAAGTAGGACTTGGCACCCACACTTTGTGAAGCAATTTGGCAGTGCCTAGTGAGGCTGGGAATACGGAGTCCACGACTCAGCAGTTCCACTCCTGGAAATATGCCCTACAGAAGATGCACTCTTGAGAAAGTGGACAGCTGTGTTTGAAATAGCCCAAAGTTGGAAATAAGCCAAGGGGATAAATACGCGGTGGAAACAGTCACTCGCAGAGTACTAGATGGCAGTGAAAAAGGATGAAGGGGACCTTGTCTCACTGACTGAATGAATCTCATGAGGCACACAAAATGTAGGTTGTTGAACAAGCATCTACTTTAAGCAAGAAAAAAGAATAACATGCATTTCTTTCTTTCTTTCTTATTGTGGCACTGGCAGTTGAAGCTAGGACCGCCGCACTGAGCTACATCCCCAGCCCTTCTACTTTATGTATTTATTTGTTTTCCCAACTTTTTCTGAGACAGAGTCCCTCTAAACTGCAAAGTTGTTCAGGCTGACCTTGATGTGGCAATCCTCCTGCCTCAGCCTCCCAAGTAGCTGGGATTACAGGTGCGTGCCACCCTGCCTGCCTTTAATATTTCAATAAATAACACAGCGAGCCTCTGGGCCACCTCATGGATGAAGTGCCTAGCAACACAGATGAGACCAACATCACAACATGTCCCAGAAGCCTGCCACACAACTGGGCGCAGCCAACAGAGGGCCATTGGTGAGCACTGCCACCCACAAGGGGAAGACCAAGGACCTCACAACAAACACTTCATATCTGAGGACCACTACAGACACAGCAGTCTGCACAACTCCCTCTCTGAGGGCCAGCATTGCTCAGAAACAGACAGCTAGAGTTCTCTTGAGAAGGTCCTCGCCCATCGCCAGACGAACGCATAGAGAAAATATGGTATGTGCACACAGTGGGATACTACTCAGCCATGAAGAAGGATAAACTTGAGTTACCTGTTGAAACATGGCTGCACTTCGAGGCCACGATGTTAAGTGAGAGAATCAGACACAGAAGCCGAAATATCGCAGAATTCCTCTTACGTGAAAAACCAAGACTGTAGATTATTTTTTAATGTGTTCTGCTGTTGCAGGGTCTCACTACACAGCTCGGACTTGTGGTGATCCTCCTGCTTTCATCCTCCCCAGAACTGGGATCACGGTCGCGCACTACCAAGGCTGGACTCTGGCGGGCTCAGCCTGCCCTGGGGGCGGGGCCGGCGCTGCATGTGGTGCCAGGGATAGAACCCCAGCCCCTGAGCTTGCCTAAGCAGGTGCTTAGTCCACTGAGCTATCTCGCCGGCCCCAAGATTGTAGATAATTTAAAGACCAAAATCAAACCTGAATGCTGGGAAATGGGGAGGCAGACTTTGTGGAGATGGGAAGAGGGACACCAAGAGGACCCAGATATGACATGTATGAGTGCCAGTTCCCCACACACTAGTGAAATACACAAATAATAAAAATGAAAAAAAAAAAAGAAAGAAAGAAAGAAAGAAAGAAAGAAAGAAAGAAAGAAAGAAAGAAACCAAAAAGAAAAAGCATTCAAGATCTGAACTGTGAGACCCCAGTCGGGCCAGTGTGGGTGCTAAGATCGTGACACCCCGCATGGGGACAGCTTCACTCCAGCAAGGAGAGCTGCAAGGTGGGTGTCCAGGGAGGAGAAGCTTAGGAGAGGAGGGCTGAGTTAGCAGAGAGGAGGGCAGGAGGCCAGCAGGGAAGGAGCCAGCTCTCGGGACAAATGGTCGCATCTGCCCCGGGGTCTGGCAGCACTCTCTGGGCTCCCTGCATAGACTAGCTGGGCGCTCACCAAGCCCACTTCCCTTTCCTTCTGAGTACAACCTGACACCTGGCTTCTCTCGCAGGGACTGTGATCATGGGAGCACAGCTGGCCAGAGGCCCTCAAACAGAAGAGGCCGGGTCTGGCGCCTTCCAGCCCCCCAGGATTTCCCGATATCCCTTTCATGCCTGTCTCTCCTCTGTGGTTTGATATGGACAAGCACAGAGCTCTTGGATGCTGTGGATTACGAAGCACAGCCACGACACGGCCAGTGCCTGCTCCCACCGCTGGTAGGGGAGACAAGCTTGCCAATGCAGGACTCCTGAGTGGGTGTTTGGACCATTTCCTAGTTTGGGATCTTTTGTTACAACAGTGAGTACTGCCACAGACGGACTGCTTGAAGGAGAGAAGACACATTTGCTTGTCAGCTACGTCACTCTATTTAGATCTGAACAGCCCTTTGCAGACAGCACTAGGACCTTATTTAGATTGGTTTTTCTCCATAGTAAAAAAAAAAAAAAAATTCCATGCATGTGGAAATCTCCAACAGACACGCATCCTCTTGACATCAAGGCAAGATATTGCCCAGCACACCAAGAGACCCGCACACAGGTGACAGCCAGAGGCATCAGTTGTGGAATCACAGCCGCAGGTTCAGTTCTGGCTCCGCCACTGGCTAGCCGGGGGTCTGAGACCACAGTCTCCATTTTGGCATCCTTGGTGGGGGACGGACACACGAGCATTTCCTAACACATTTGGTTGTCGTCAACATGAAATGAAAACATGCAAATAAAGCCCTTTGGGAATGGCGGTTATAATTACTGTAACCGCAACCGAAAGCCTGTGCTGAGATCGAGAGGCAGGAAAGAAAGAAGAGCAGAGGGGCTCAGCCTGCAGGAGCGCCACAGCCTGCACCGCGCCAACCGCGCCTCGCCCAGCACCCAACACCCGGTGCTCCCCGCAAGATCAATCCGACGGCCGCGGCGCTGCCACTTACCCTGTTAGCACCACCACAAAATCCATCACGTTCCAGCCGTTCCTCAGGTAGGAGCCTTTGTGGAAGGCAAACCCAAGAGCAATGATCTTAATTCCAGCTTCAAAGCAAAAAATCCCAATGAAGTACGGCTCCGTGTCATCCTGGAAGGGAGGGAAGGTGAGGTCAGAGTCCTGAGCGGGCAAAGGGCATCGTCGCCAGCAGGGAGCGACCCTCCAACCTCGTGCTCCAGCCCCAACACTCCCCAGCACCCCACTGGGATTTTCTTATCCAGAAGTTTTTGTGAAAAAAGCAAAAAGTTCCAGAAGACACCTTCATCCTCTGGGACAATCTCACTATCATACAGACAAGTAGAGCTGTGTTATCCAATATGGAAGCCCCTGGCCATAAATTCAAGTGAGCTTGAATGTAATAGAATTTAAAAATGCAGTCTTGTAGTCACACCAGCCATTCACAAACAACTAAGATATTGAACATCAGGGATGTGAAACACCCCTGTGACTGCAATGAGCTCTGCCGGAAATCGCTTGCTTTAAGCATCAAAGCGCAGCACCCAGAGGTCTTGAAGACGGGCGCCGCATGCTGGTCTCACTCCCAAGGCTCAGGCCTGCGGCTGCTTCTCAGCAGGTATGCACCCGCCCAGCGGCTCAGGCTGGCAAAGGCTGGAGTACTCCTCCTGCACTGGCTGGTCACAGGCCAGGGCCCCACCACTGTCTTTCTGTGGAGCCTGCCTCCCACTGGCTCAGGCTCCTTGCTGATGGTGCTTGTACTGAGATGAACGGCCAAACTCTCTCTGCTGACACCCTGGTGGACTTCCCCATCTGTCACTGCAGTGGCCCTTTCGCTTCAGTCATTTGTATTTCTCTCTCCCCGCTTCTTTTTCTCTGCAGCGTTGGGCCACTGGCACTGCTAGTGGCCTGCTATTTAATAGGCTCTGATGTACTTAGCTTTATCTTAAGCAAAAAGAAAAAGCCTTGAAATTATAGGTTCACTGGGCCGGTTACATTTTTCAGAATACACACAGTCTAATAGATAGCCATTAAATTTTTTTTTTTTAAAAAGGGGGGGAACCACAAAACGCATTAAATAATTGTGGGAGTTAGGAATGAGGGATTCTAACACTCTCTTCTCCTTAGCCTGGGCTGGAGGGTGGGGGCGGGGCTTGGTGTCCAACATCCGCCTCTTCGTGTGCAAGCCTGTGGGTCTGATTCCCAAGAGAGAGAACACTTAGGGCGGGTGCGGTGGTGCACATCTGCTATCCCCGCTCCTCGGCACCAAGGAAGGAAGAGGCCAGGTTTGAGGCCAGGCTGGGCAACTTGGCAAAAATAAGAAGTGAAAGCGGCTGGCAGTAGGGCGCAGGGGTAGGGGACTCCAGGGTTCAGTCTGCAGTACTGTAAAAACGAAACAGAAAACCTCGGGCTGTGTTTGGATGTTGGAAGAACCAGACTATAAAGTGACATCCCTGAGGTGCTCAGGGACAGGTGGCTTCTGAGGAGACCTCAGGTGATTCTAGGGGGAACGAATGCCATTGTTATGCTGGGCATGAGGATGTCTTGGTGGCAACCTACGATAATATCACATTTTCAGTAATGCAGACTCTGAAGTGTAGCCTGGAATTCACATGCTGTCCGTCGGCTCCTTAGAATGTTTCCACCAAAAAAAAAACAAACAAAAAAAAAAAAAAACCAGGAATGGGGGCCGGGGAGATGGCTCAGTGGAATAAGCGCTTCCCTGGCAAGCGCAAGGGTCTGAGTTCAATCCCCGGTTCCGAAAAAAAAACAAGGAAAGGTGACAACAGGAGACAGTGGAAGGGACTGTGGCAGGATTTTAGTGATGGCTAGATATGGTGAGGGGAGCTCATATACAACTGTATTCGTATATAGTCAAAATTTTTCATATAAATGTTCTTTTCTTTTTTTGGTGAGGGATGAAACGCTATGGCCTCACATATGCCACACCCAGCCACCAGTGAGCCCTGTTTTGAACATGATGCCCATGGACAATGGCACTGCTGTCCCTGTTCCCTCAGGGGTGACCCAGGTCTGCTGGGTTGGAGAGCGGGAGCAGGGCCTCGAGGACATCTCTCCCCCACGACTGTCACCCTGGAAGTCAGGACCCCACCTCCCCACCCTCCCCTCACCCCTGCTCACCAATCTCTCCGACATCGGGGTCTTGTCGTCATCGGGCAGGTGCTGCTCCAGGGCGAGGACGATACAGTTTGCTATAATGGTGGCTAAAATCATGTATTCAAAGGGAGTAGCGTGGAGTTAAGGAGAATCTCTGGCTGAGTCACAGTAAAGGAGGGGATGACAGGGCACTCTCTCCGTCCAGCCGGGGCCCAGGTCCTCTGAGCCCTTGCGGCCCATTGGCCCCCTCACTCCAGCGTTCCCGCAGGCATAAGTGCATCCTCACAGTTCCACCCCTGAGCCGGTCACTTGGTGAGGAAGAGCATGTATGTGTTCTCCCTCTTGTCAGCGGTCTCCCACCCTTTTGGCACCAGCAGTTGGTTTTGGGGAAGACAATTTTCATCACAGACCAGAGTGAAGGGGAATTTTCTCAGCTTTTAAAATTTTACTAATATATATTTGAGATGCATAATTACTACCTTCCCTAGCTCTAGCATCACTGCCTCAGCTCCTCCTTCAATCATCAGGGTTAGATTCTCCTAAGAAGCTTCACCCTAGATTCCTCCCATGCGCAGGTCACGGGAGAGGGGTCTGTCCTGGCTCTAGAGCAGGTGCAGCTCACAGCAGGTCCACACTCCTGTGAGGATTTGAGGCCACGTGGATCTGACAGGAGGTGGCGTTCAGTTGATGACAGGAGCTATGGGAGCGGCTGGAGACGCAGAGAGAGCTTTGATAGCTTCCCCAACCACTCACCTGCTGTGTGTGCCCCACAGCTGGGGACCCATATGCTATGTCACACAGCATCGACTGTGTGTCTGGCACAGTTCTGGACATTAGGGACATGACCAAAGGCAAAACAGACAAAATTCCCAAGCCTTGAGGAGGAGCAAGTAGAGGAAGGAGCTACCCAAGTGCTGGCAACCACAGGCTCCATGCTCACTCTGCCAACCTCCATGGGAATAATTGCACCTAGGAACAAAAAGACGTCCACACCAAACACATTCAGACATGCCTTCTCATGGGTATCCCCTTGGCAACGGATTGTCACAACGCAGCCACCATATGCAACGTCTCTGCACCAGGTCCACAAGTCACTGAGGTGCCATCCTCTGCCAGAGGACATGAGCCATTCTAGACAAAGAGCCCACCTTTATAGGGGGCATCTGAGCATCAGGGTATCTGTGGAGGAATTGCCCCCGCCAAAAGCCAGCGACAACCTGAACGTCCTCAACAGGCGAATAAACAACAACAAAAGCGATACCTGCACGCCCAGGTATGTGTTTACAGAAACACAACATAGACAGCAGAATCTTGGAAGCGGCCCATATGTCCATCGCCAGACGAACGGATTAAGAAAATGTGGTATTGACACACCATGGAGTAAAACTCTGCCATAAGGAAGGATAAACTCGAGTCATTTCCAGTAAAGGGATGTACCTTGAGAACATGTTAAGTGAAGCAAATCAGACACGTGAGCTAAAACATCGCATGGTTTCTCTTCTGGGAGAATGCTAAGGTATAAATAATTTAAACAGCAAAATTAAAGATAGATGATAGGAAGCAGAGAAGTAGACTTTAGAGAGATGGGCAGGGGCTGGGGGGGGAGGCGAGAGGGGTGGGGGAAGGGACGTTAAGGACAAGATGCGCCTTCCATGTATCGATTCCACACAATAAATGGAATTATTACATAGTGGCCCATCTGATAGATAGTGTGAGACAGCCAGGAAAAGTCAAAGGCGGATCCATGTCAGAACCCGGATGAACCTCAGAAACACAACACCAAGTAGAAGCCAATGTAAAAGCAGCACCCGGTGTGTGGTTCGTGTGTTCGAGATGTCCAGAAGAGGCGACTCGCAGAGCGGGAAAGCCTCTCAGCCCATCCGAGGGAGGAGGCAGTGGGGAGTGACTGCTTCATGTTTTGGAAGCAGATAGCAGGTTTTACAACACTGCGAGTGTACTAAATGCCACAGCGTTAGTCACTTTAAAATGTGCTATATGAATTTCACCTCAATAAAAACATACAGTGGCCAGGGCAGGCAGCTGAGAAGTTGATCTTTCAGGATCGGAAGGAGGGGAGGGGAAGCTGTGGCTCTCCCCAGACGTCTCATTTATTCTCATCTTCCCATTCTCCCTCCGGCTCTCTCTCTCTCTGCAAACTGCTCTCTGCGTCCCAAATCCACTATGTCACAGAAGGATTGAATAGCGCATGTCAAGGGACTTGACCATGGGAAACCTCTGTCCTCCTCCTCTCCTTGCAAGCACTAACCAGTTTCATCCCCCCCACCCCCGGCACTAGTTAGCTTTGATGCTTTGGAAGATCCATCAAATAATCATTCTGAGGCAGAAAAGATGGGGTAACTGATGCATAAACCCATTTCTCAGGTGGAAAAAGAAAGTCTGAAAGAGAAAACTCAGGCGCAAAACCCTCAGAGTAGCAGGCAATCCAGACTCCCTCCACCACTGGCTCTAGCCTCTGCTCCAGCTGGAAGCAGCTGATGTGGTGCTCTGCACACTCTGAAAAGCAAAGCAGATTCTCAGGGCAATTTGGGGAGACAACAAAAGCCAGCCCTATGGACAATCATCTCTGACTGGCTTCCTGCCTCGGAGCCGATAGTCATTAGGAGCCTGGAGAACAAAGCCCGGCTGTGTCGCACAATATTCTGCTCTGTCTCACCCTGTAGCCCAGAAAATAAGCGACAATATTTGTACACAGAGAAACAATGTGAGTCCTTCCCTGGCCTCCACTTGCCATGCTTTGAATTCAACTTCGCATCTCCTCTCCGCTAACTCAGACTGCTTGTTTGCTTCTGCACCAAGCTGTGGCTCCCCTCGTCTAGTGTCCTGGCCTCTCGCTTTGGCATGGCTGGGATGTAGCTCTGTTCGCCTCAGCCCTGAGCTGAAGGTTCCATGCACAGTCCTGCAGTGGGACTAGGAAGCCACGTGCCAGTGACTTCCCCTCCACACACACACACACACACACACACACACACACCCCTCTTGCAAACGTCAGGGTGGTCTCAGAAAAGATCACCCAGTTTGAGCACTCACCAGAGTTTCAGTTTGAGCAGTGGCACTGCCCAAGATCTGGTTCAGGGGCAGGTGGAGCTCAGGTAATTGGGGTTCTGAGTCATGCAGAAAGGTGGGGGCTCCTGCCTCTTCCAAACTTCGTCCTGCCCATTCTGACCCACAGAGAGAATTCAACGGTCTTTGCTGGCAGGCTTCTGCCCCCTACTTGGGCAAAGGGGATAGAGAAGAGACTTCTAATTGTGATTTTAAGAAAGAGCAATGTTCCAACGGCATGAAAAGGCAGTGCAAGCTTTGGGTATGTGGAAGCATTTAAAACCTCCCATTGGGCTGGGTGTGCTGTTGCATGCCTGCCTGTAGAGCCAGTACTTGGGAGGCTGAGGCAGGAGGACTACCTCATGCTTGAAGCCAGTCTGGGCTATATGGTGGGACCTGCCTGAAGACAGCAAAAATTAGATTTTCTGTAGATCTCATTTCATTCAGAAAAAAGCCAAAGGCCGACCCCTCACAGCCAGCAAGGCCCCCAGCACCTCTGCACCCCCCACTCCTCTCCCCTTCTGCTTTGGTCTTTCGGCCACAGCCACACTGGCCTCGCCCACCTGCTCCATGCCCATTACAGCACTCCTGCCTCATGACATCCGTGTGTGCTGCGTGCACTTCTGGAATGCTCCTTCTTTTCTGTTTTCCTTAACTTTTCCCTCAAAGTCCCCTTTCTCCGACAGCCCTCCCCGCTTCATCTTTTCCTCTTCAGCCTTTATCTAAACATCTTCTATATTTTCCCTCTTTATCTTGTCCATCTTTCACCCCCATGAGACTGAGCATAATGCAAGTGTACTTTTTTGGGGGGTCTGTTTTATTCGTTGCTTTGGTCTTTTCACTTAACGCATGCGTGATGTAGCAGCTGCTCAATAAACAGCTATGGAGAGGAAGGACGTGGGGAGGGCGTGCCTGCTTTTGCACCCTTTAGGCTGAGCCTTCACGGGCATGTTAGGACTCCAATCAGCCCCTTCAAATAAGCAGACCCATGTGGCAGGCGCTCATCCTCAAGATGGGGTGCTGAATCCTTGGCCCCAGGCAGAGGCCAAAGGTTACCCTGGGTAGCAGGGACTGGGGGAGGACAGCTCTTTCTCAGCCCGACCTGGAGTTGTGCCTGATCCTCCCGATTTAGCAGGCATGGGTTCCAGCTCCCAGCTGTGATGAGCCTGCCTGTGTGTGCAGAGTGGGGCTGGCCTGCCCTCTGATTGGTTTGGAGAGAAAGTACCTAAGTCAGCAGAACCGGAATAATCACCCAGCAAAAGGGGAGGGTGGATTTGAGGAGAGAAGGAACCTGGCAGAGAGGAGAGGGAGAGAGAGCTGCCTCTTGAAAAGGCTCAAGTCAGGCAAGCAGGCAGCCGCGCAGGCAGGGGCGTTGCCCAAGGCTCCCGCTGGAAAGGGGACCTCAGGAGACTGCAGAGCAGCTGCCACAGGTGACCCTGGAGATGATCAAATGAACCTTCATGGCGACAAAAGACTGCTTTTGCTGATGGGCTATTGCTTTGGGGACACAGCACATCAAGGAAAATCAGCTTTCATCGCGACTGTGGTTAATGGTTCCTGCCCTTTGCGAGACCCTGCAGAAGCCCCAGGAAGCCCGCTGGCTCTATGTGCTTCCCTCCAGCCTCATCTCATTCTCAGCCTCCCGCGGCTGGTGCAGGGATCAAGTCAGATTTGATAACTCATCGAGACCCTGTCTTCACTATAGGGGCTGCCTGTGGGGCGCGTCTGGAAGAGACAGATACTTTAAGGAGTCCGCGCTGCGGTTGAACTTGTCAGAAGCTGAACAGACCCTTTTATCCCAGAGCAGGCGCTTCCCCACTGAGCCACATTTCAGCCATAACTCACTAACGACCAGCCATGGCCCAGCAGTCCACAGCCTCATGAGACTCCATCCCCACGTGCATCAAAATCATCAAGAATGGGGAGACAGTCCTACCAGGGACCTAGGTGTTTGACTCTGAGACATACTCCTGTCATTCCAGCACTCTGGGACACTGAGACAGG